TAGCGATCACTGTTAGTTGTTAGCAAATAATTAATTCCATATTTATTGAAATTTAAGCAATATTATAGTTGGCAGTTATTTTGAAGTACATTTTTTGATGTGACTCAGAAGAGGTCTTTCCTCACAGGTCAAGATTTAATAGCATGAGCAGGAATGCAAATGGTGATACATAAAACAGGTGTGTTCAATCTCAGAGTTAAGTCAGCAAACTAGAAAGTTTGGAAAGCTTTGGAAAATAAATTTCTCATTGGAGAACTTGGATAGTCTTGTCTTAACTTGTTTGAAGATAGTACAATATATTTGGCTCTAGTTGTCTCCTGCAAATTTTTCCAAACTATGACCCTCAAATAGAGCTCTTCCTTTTTGAAATTGTTTTTCTGCTGGGCATCTGCAGCAGTTGGCATGAAGTGTTAGAGTTCATGTAGCACCAGACTACTTTGCTGATGAACACTTTGCCCATGGTTCCTGCTGTGAGTGAAATTAATTAGACTTCTGCTATCCCAGTCAATTTCCCTCCCAGCAGGTTGTGTGGTTAGAACTCCTCAAGAGACTGAGACTGAATATCCAGTTCTGATAACTGCTGGGTTGGATATTTTAAAAAATTGGACAATAGTGTTAAAAAAAAAAAGGGGGGGAGAGGGACTTGGCTACAAAATAAGTCAAAAGGAAGAAGATGGAGAAAAATGGTCAAAACCAAAGGTTTTTTTTGGTCCTGGTAATAATAATGGACCAAGATTCAGTAGCAACAGGTAAGGCATTAAAATATTCTGGTTTTATTTTATCCTTTTCTTAGGCTTAGAGAATTCATAAATTGCTAATAGATAAATTTGAAGGTTTGCGTTTTGTTTTTTGTGGTTTTTTTTTTTTTTTTTTTTTTTGCGGTATTGGGGCTTAAAGTCAGGGCCTTCACCTTGAGTCACTCCACCAGACCTATTTTTTGTGATAGGGTTTTTCGAGATAGGGGTTCGTGAACTATTTGCCCAGGCTGGGTTCTAACTGCGATTCTCCTGATCTCTGCCTCCTGAGTAGCTAGATTATAGGTGTGAGCCACCAGTGCCTGGCAGGTTTCTTTTTAAACTTCAAAATAAGCTCAGATTAGTACTCAGTATAGAGCAGAGCCTGCAACACATACCTCCAGAGCCAAATTTTATGTTCTTAACTAACATGTAAAATTCACATCTTCCTTGTAACCTCATCCAAAAGTAGGAATTTTGAAATTTCATTCTAGCCAGTAATGGTGACTGGGATTTGTAAAATTGCCTAAGGTATATTTACTTATTATAGGACAAATAAACAGTTCTATGAGAATGTGTCTTTTATTAAATGCAAGCTGACCATGGAGGTTATTACATCTCTTTTCTTAATGTTATATTGGAATATGAGTTCCATGAACCAATGAATCCCAAATACACTGCTTTTAGTTTACTAGCTTAAGTGAGATGGTACACCATGTAAATAGACTAACTTCATCTGTGATTACATGGGATGCTTTAATTGTAAAAACTTATGGGACAATGTTTATGACCAATGGGAACAACATTTAATTCCATTTATCCATAGTTTTATTCTGTAATGGTGCAACTATATCTTATTAATCCATGCTTATTACTTAAGTAGTCACCTAATGTTTGTGAGTTGAATTACTACTGAGTGATTTTGTTATTGTTGATACTCATTTATAACTTTTCTATCAAGGATTTGAGGCAGACTGGCTATGTGGTAGAGTGCCACATGTAAGTGGCATGTGTAAGTCCCTGGGTTTGGTTCCCCAGCACCACACCAAAAAAAAAAAAAAAAAAAAAAATCAGAGAATTACAGCAAAGGGAGTAGTGAAATTTAATAAAGCTGATAATGGAGCAAATATAAGACCATATGTAAAATATAGCATATGAAATAGGCCTGTAAGCCTATAGTTTTAAGAGATGAGTTACAGACTTTTCTCAGAACTTCCATGTAGCCAAAGAGGGCAATATTATCAGTTATTAGATATATATTATCTGTTCATAGCTGAAAACAAACCCAGGTGTTCAGGAACACATCCTAATATTTTGACTACAATATTAAAAAAGAAAACAGTAGGACAAGTAGTACATACTCAGTCATCTGACATCTCTAGCTAACAGATATTATGTTGTCATCAGACAAGGGAAAGGAGCAATGAAGATTCCTCCATGAGAGAAGGAGGGAGAAATCCTTGACTCACCTTCCCAATTTCCATGCAAATCACAGGGATTGAAATCTACAACAAAAAGCATTTTAAGGGGGCTTCACAAAAAAAAAAAAAAAAAAGGAATCTCACAACCGGATGCAGTGGCTCATGCCTGTAATTCCAGCTACTTGGGAGACAAGAGATCAGGAGGATTGCAGTTTGAGCTAGCCTGGGTAAAAATATATGAGACACCATCTCAAAAAAAAAAAGCTGAGTGCAGTGGTTCACAACTGTTATCCCAGCTATGTGGAAGGTCATAGTAGGAGGATTGTGGCTTGATGATTGCCCTAGGCAAAAAGTGAGAGAACCTATCTGGAAAATAACTAAAGCAAAAAAGGGTTGTGGGTGTACAGCTCACCCTGTGTTCAAATCCCATAACACCAAAAAATGAAGCTCACAAGTAGAAGTTTAGTAAGAATTTATTTAGCAAAACAGGATAAAGTGGGGAAAAATAGAAAAGGGAAAGAGAAACACTTCCCGCTTGACACACAAGGAATGGGAGCAAAGAAGTTCAAAATGGCAGTCCTTGTCCAGGTATATTTATGCCTTCTGAGCTTGGGGAACCTTACCTAAACATGGCATCTAGCAACTCTTAATCATTTTGCTAAGTTTCTAATCACAGAGATGGGATTAGAGTGGGTCTGTTACCCAAAAACAGGGAGAAGAGGGACCTCAGGTAGGCCTGCTACCACCTAAGACACAGGGACAATGGGTGTAGCATTTAGGACTTTCTTTTCTGACCTAAGAAACCATTTATCAGACATGCCCTTTTATTCTGTCTCCCTACCTATTCAAGGAGTTCGCATTGTACTTAATATCTGGAAAGGAAGAAACGAATATGATGGGGGTTGTGAGGGAGGCCTGCCGTTCTCAGATTCTGTTTTAATTCCTCAGCCTGGCTTAATTTGTGATGTATATAGTTTTTTAAATTTCCCAATCACCTTATCTAGTATTATCTTAGTAATACCAAATATCATTCTAATTTTAAAACAAATATTCAAAGTTGAAGTGCCTTATATTTTTCCAGTATCATTCTTTCCCTCCCCCTCTGATCATAAAGCCCATACTATAGCTTATCAGGTTTTTTTGCTTCTACTGCATGCATAGTAATCCTTACATCTTCTTAAATTCACATAAATAATATACTACATATGTCATTCCAAAACTTGCTGTTTTCATTTGATGTCCATGATATTATAGCTCATTAATTTTAAATCCTGAAATACAGTTTTCCATCATATAGAAATAACCCACTTTAGTTATCTTTTTCCTGCTAATGGATTTTTAACTTATTTCTAGTTTTTCACTGTTACTAACAATGTCACATTAAAAATTCCTATGTCGTCTTGTGCCCAAATGCAAAGTTATTCTAGGGCAGTGGTTTTTATAGGACAGTTGACCTTTTTCATGGATTTTGTAGGAACAACTTACTTATCAATTATTCCCTTGTGAGCTTTTCCCCCCAATTTGTCTTTTAGCTTTGGTTATAGTGATTAAAAACTGTTAGAAAATTCATTAACTTTTAAAATTATATATATTTAAGATATGTAACATTTGTATATGTGTATATGTGTTGAAATAATTACTGTAGTCAAACCAGTTAACATGTCCATTTGACATAGTTACCTCTGTTAATGTGCATATGTGGTAAAAACACCTAAAATCTATTGTCAGAAAATTTCCAGTATACAGTACAATGTTAGTTGTACATAGTCTCCATTGTTAGATCTCTAGACTTATTCATCCTACATATCTGCAACTTTTCACCTTTTGACTACTTGGATACCCACTGGGATTTATAGCAGTTATTTGAAAAATGGTCTGGGGCTTATGAGGGAGGAAAGGTTTAGATTTAGGAAATGTTTGTATAAGGTCAGAAACTTTTTTTTTTTTGGTGGGAATTAGGTATGAACTCAGGTTTTGTGCTTGCAAAGTAGTCACTCTACCACTCGAGCCACACTTCTAGTCCATTTTGCTCTGGTTATTTTGGAGGTGGGGTTTCACAAACTGTTTGCCTAGGCTGGCCTGGAACCACAGTCCTCCGATCACAGCCTTTCAAGTAACTAGGATTATAGGCGTTGAGCCACTGTTGGCCTAGCAAAGGGTAGAAATTTAATGCTGTTGAGATGGATATAGTTGCCATAAAGAGAATGCAGATTGAGCAAATTTTGAGGATTAAACCATATGAAGCAACAGTGGAGAATCCAACAAAAGAGATAGAAGAAAGATCTGTGGAGAACAAGAATCTAGAAAAGCAAGTGGTGCTGGGACTATAAGTGAGGAAATATCTCTGGTGCTTCAGAGATCTAAGAAGATATAAAAATGTTGCCCTTTAGGAGAGTAGCTGGTAAAGGGTTAAGGAATAGAAGGCTACTCTTATATGCTCAGGCAGAGTTTTAGGGCTAGCAAGATCATTTCCAGTAGGAATGGAGCATGTATGCCCTAAAGAAAGGGGCCAGTGGTAAGATTGTGTCTGGTGTTAACCATGCTATTCAGGCAGCCTTTTCATAGATGTACTTTAATGTATCCTTTAAGTAAGCTTATTTGCTAAATTAATATTGAGCATTGTGCAGAGTTAAAGCAAGGTGATACAGCTGTGACTAGAAGACTACTAGTTGGTCTTCTCTGAGATTAATATTTAAATTTGAAACCTTGAATGTTTAGGAGCCATTTGAATGATCAGGATAGAGCATTTCAGGAAGGTAACAAAATTTCAGTCTCTAGATCATATAAATAATACAATAGTAAACCAATAATTTAGTAAATCTTCTTGATTATTGGGTCTGACCAGGGTGAAGAAAGAACAGAAATCTTTGCCTCCTGACTTTAGAAATCTCGTTTAACCTTCAAACTGGCGATGTCAAGGGTTCCAAGTCCTCCACCTCCGGCAGAAATGTCGAGTGGCCCTGTAGCTGAGAGCTGGTGCTACACACAGGTAAGTTCGTGTTTCATCCTATAAATCTTGCATCTTGGGGTGATTTAGTGGACAAAAACAATAGGATTGCTTTTCTACCTTGGGTTTCCTATTTCCTCTGGAATATAACTGTCAAATAACAGGTAGGTAAGATACTTGTCAGCCTTGCATTCCTTGGTTTTTCACATGTAATCTGAATACCGAAGTGTTTTTCAAAGGTTGTTTTTCAAAGGTTGTCAAAAGAGGGAATCTTTGAAACTAGCTCTGTTTACATTCCCTTTGATGGAGATGTGTTCTAAGGTTCCCTTGTTTAGGGAGCCAAGTTTGAGATTTGCAGTCCCAGGGCATCATACTTGTAGGTGCATTTTAGATATGGCTGTATCATCTACTTTTCCATCCCTGGCTGTGTTTTGTTTTTGTTTTCCCTCTATATATGTTTTTCTCACCTACCATTCAGCCTTTCTCAGAAGCTGAAAAATGTTATAAAAGCAGTGGTTCAGTATCAGATTTTTTAAAATGTAGATGAAGGACTAAACGCAAAAAGCTGACCCTCTATGCTGGATCGTGCAGAGAGAGAGGGAGAAGAAATGCTTACTGATCTTCAGCCTGTTTATTCAGGTTGCTCCACTTCTTAATTCTTTCCTGATTTTCTATCAACAGATCAAGGTAGTGAAATTCTCCTACATGTGGACCATCAATAACTTTAGCTTTTGCCGGGAGGAAATGGGTGAAGTAATTAAAAGTTCAACCTTTTCATCAGGAGCCAATGATAAACTGAAATGGTGAGGACGAATATCTCTACCTGTAAAACTCTTTGCTACAAATTGCCTTGTTATTTGGTTTTATATGACACTGACTAGAATGTAAGTTCCTTGAAGGCAGGGACTTTGTTTTGTTTTTACTGTATCCCTCAATGTCTAAAATAGTGCCTGGCACACAGTAGGTGCTGACTAAAAGTTTCTTGAATTCAATGAGTCTATAAGAGTTTAGCAAACTCAAGCTATTGGGTAATGTGAATGAATAAAGAGGACCAGTGTTAGAAATCTTATCCATATAAGGTATAAGTAGTGACTACTTGGCAAACTAGCAAGTGTCCTTTTATCTAAAAGTAGTAATGAAGGACTGGGGATTGTGACTCAGTGGCAGAGCAGTTGCTTAGCACTTGTGAGCCTCTAGTTCAGTCCTCAGAACTACAATCATTCAATCAATAAAATAAAAGGGATGGTGCTGCTCAGCTCTAGCCAACCATAGCAATGTGAGAAAAAGAACTGACCATCACCAAATTTTCTGGTTTTTCAAGAAAAGCAAGAAACCTAAATTTTAATATAAAATCTTGACTTTCAAGATGCTTACTTGTAAGCAATAAAGAGGATTTATTTACCTTTGTAACTGGACTGATCAGGGTATAGGATAGGTTTCACCCAGCCAGGCTCATGGTTAAATTACAGACCATCTCTGTCCTCTACTTATTCTGCATGCTGCTGGACATCTCAAGTCTAGCTTGAGACATACTTGAAGAATGACTAACCAGTAGCAATGGGCATAACCCACTATATACCAGCTCTCTCTGAACTGATTGTATAGCCAAGAAGATGCCATACGTGCACCACATGGGTTAGGTTTGAGTTCCCTGAATTAATCCCTGTGTCAAGGGAAATACAATCTAGGAGTAGGGGGTCAACCCCATCTAAATCATGTGCTATCTTGAGGAAGAGGAGCAGGCAGTTAAGGATACAACCATATGTCCACTGCAAAGGCGAAAACGCATCTCTGAACCACTCGTTTTGACCTCTGATAACCTATTGAAGAGTTTATTCATTCGCTTAGTGTTTGTTGGCTATGTACATTAAGCATTGTACCTCTAGATGTGGAGAGGAATTTTATTCTTAGGCATTATACTTAAATCCACATCTTTAGCATATTGTATGGCAATATATGTGGCATCTGCATTCCCTATAGAGACATTGGATTAGGCCACCTGTTTGAGGTGCCATAATACTGGCAAGGCGTAAGGATACATATGGCTTGAATATTCTATGTGGTAGAAGCAGTGTCTGAACCACATGCAGTTCAGCTAATGACATTTACAACTTAACTTATTTGAACTATTCTGTCTGAATTCTGTTTTGACTCAACCAGAATAGACTGGCATCTCTAACTCTGTTTAGAAGCCTAACTTGGAATACTCCCCTGTGTAATGGGAATTTACTTTTTTCTGTTCTTTCTCCATAGTTTCTCATTAGATTAAATCTTAAAATATTATTGTTAGATTTTATAAAATATCTATAAAAGATTATGTATTATGTACATGTTTCTCTAGAATACTTGTTCTCTCCCAGTGTAATATTAAACAGATCATTGACTTTTTTTCTTGGTTTCTCCATAGTCGCAACAAAATTAAGAGCTACTTTTCCTGACATTGAAGAGTGCAATAAAGCAAGACTAGGCTGGATTTTTAAATATTTTAGGGGGAAAAAGAGGAATGACTGGGGAGATAATAAGGGAAAAGGCAGAAATGAAAGAGATACATGTTCTGGAATGCCTCTTTGTTTTTGTTTACTATGAATTACCCAGTTGTTCTAGAAAAACGGTTCTCAGGTTCTCAAGTAGTCGTTCTACTGAATCATAATCTCTTACCTATCAGGCCTGGATTTTTTTTTTTTTAGACTTCTCTTGGTTCTCATGTTCCACTTCAATATTACTATTTCATAATCCCATAAGGGTACTCTTGACACATTTTTTTTTCCCCCTCTCTGTTTTGGGCAGGTGTTTGCGAGTAAATCCAAAAGGGTTAGATGAAGAAAGTAAAGATTACCTGTCACTTTACCTGTTATTGGTCAGCTGTCCAAAGAGTGAAGTTCGGGCAAAATTCAAATTCTCCATCCTGAACGCTAAGGGAGAAGAAACCAAAGCTATGGGTAAATGTTCTTTTTGTTTGACTTGACTTTACATCCATCAACTTCATATACTAAGTTGTGGATTCAATCTGATTTTTTTAGTAACTGTAAATATGACTTTTTTCCTATCCCAGAGAGTCAACGAGCTTATAGGTTTGTGCAAGGCAAAGACTGGGGATTCAAAAAATTCATCCGTAGAGATTTTCTCTTGGACGAGGCTAACGGGCTTCTCCCTGATGACAAGCTTACCCTCTTCTGTGAGGTGAGTCCCTTTACCCTGCTCTGAGACTAGCAATTCCCAGACCTGATGGGTGTTGGTAGACTTAATTGTATTGTATCAGGGATGTGGAATAAGAAAATTCCCCAAGTGAAGTGGCACTATACAAATGTTATTTATGAGGCTGATTGAACTGCCTCATGATTTCAAGGTTATTGAGTATCTCCACTTTCCACTTGTTTTTGTTCATGAAAACAAAGACTGTGTGCTGTCTTAGTATTTATCAGTTTTGGGTGGCTTGGATCAGGATTCTGGCATTTTTAACTGTGGGTTTTTTCACTTAGTATTTAGAAGAGGAAAGTGACCAACAACTAAATGTGTGTATCTGTTCTTAAATTTCCTAACTCCTCCTTGAGTGGGAAGTCCAGGTGTGTTTAACAATGGATCACTTTTTTTTTTTTTTAATTGTTTTGTTGGGTGGGAGTACATTGTGATCACTTTACTTTTCTGCTTTTTTTTTTTTTTTTTTTTTTTTCCCCCAGAACTAGGGTTTGAACTCAGGGTCTATACCTTGAGCCATTCTGCCAGCCCTTTTTGTGATGGGTTTTTTTCAAGGTAGGGTCTCATGAACTATTTACCCAGGCTGGCTTCAAACCACAATCCTCCTGATCTTTTCCTCCTGAGTAGCTAGCATTACAGGCGTGAGCCACTGGTGCTGAGCCATTTTCTCCTCTTTGAACCAAGTGACTCCCATCAGGAGTTGTGTGCCTGTGGTTTATCTTTCTGGGGTCATTATGAAGTAAGAAAGTGGGAACCACTTTTTTCTAGGGTAAAATCCATTTAAAACTTGAGTTTGCTGGAGAGTTACCTGTAGTCTTGTAGAAAGGTCTGCTTCTCACCAAAGGCCTAAGAGCCTTTCCAGGTTTATAGGAGAAGCCTGGAAGTAAAATTTCCAGACCAAGATGTAGTTGAAGTGCTTTCTTTAATGAGTATTATATGCCCTAATGACCCATTCACGCTGTTTATCATACATTTAGAAATATTCTTACAAACTCACATTGTGATAGGTGAATAAAACCTCCAGACAACTGGGGCGTTAGTGTCCCTGTATACTATATAGTCAGGGTATCACTTTCTGAGCAGCACACTTAATGAGAATAACCACTGTACCTTCATGGGAAAGGATGCAGGCAAGTTTCCCAACTGCCAGTTCACTCTGTCAGATGATAAGTTCACATTGTTAATGACAGTTCAAAATTCATATCATCACTGGTGTAACTGGAGAGATTGTCCCTTAGGAATCTTGCCCTTTTGCAAAAGAAGTCTGGCCAGCAGTAGCATGCTTTTGTATTTCAGCAGAATAGTTTTTAATCATTAGAAAACTTTGTAGGCATGGCTTATTAAAATACCACACTGAATAAGTAAAGTATGACTTGCATAATAGTTGTTCCATCTCCATTTTAATTGCTAAGTAAAAGATGAAATACTGGAGTGATCACATCTATATAAATATGTAAAATGTAGCAGTTGTTTTATGTCTGATGAACTTGAAATTTGAATTAAATGTGAGTCCTGCCTAGTAACAGATCATACTCAGTTGTCTGACTGAAGAAATGAGAACAATTAGGTGGTTTTGTGTGAGGTAACATATATCAGAGTATCAATTTCAGCCTTCAGCTATCTCAGAGACTTGTATTTCAAGAAAAACTTTTAAATAGTGGAAATTTCTAATTTTGTTGGAAATGAAAGCCAGTCTTCAAACTTCTCTGAAGAAAATGTTCTTTAAATATACTGCATCTGGCATTTTAGGCAGTGCCATAACCTTTATTGTAGCATTTCCAAGTCTACAGTGAGTCCATCCTTTTCTCACGTTTCCTTCTCTTTCCCCAATCCATTCCAGCTGCTCCAACCACTGTATTGACTTTCTTGATTTTGGAAACTAGTTGGCTTGCCCTCACTTGGCAATCTTTTACCTTATGGTTAAGTCTGAGGCTGAGTTCCAGTGCGCTCTCTACACTTCCCCATATGAAATTCTCTTAGGAGAAATCCTGTGGTTAAGTTTAGATTTGCCTTACTGACTTAGAAGGGAAGTGAGATGACACGTTGGAAATGAGGAGATGTTGAACAGGGAAACGTCTGCTAGGTTCTGCTGATGCCTTTGGTTTCTTACCATCAAACCAGGTGTGCCATCTGTTCTTCTCACACTTCTTGGTTGGGCACAGGTGCTGAGTGTTGTTTCTTATACTTGGGCTTGTGCCTAGTGAGACTCATTTCTGTTCCAAGGCTCTCTGTGGACTTAGTAGCATTCAGCATTGCAAGACGTTTGCGTGGGGTGTGTAGTGGATGTGTGGGTTTTAAAAATGCAGCTCATCTAAGTTCTTAGCACTTTTCATAGCTACATTGTTTTTGATGCAAGTTCTATCCCTTTAACCTGTTGTTTTCCCTCTCTCAATGGAATATTTTTGTTAAAAAGCTCATTTTAATTCATGTTTTATTTACTATTGATTTACCTAGTATTTTTCTGTTATTTAAAGGCTTTTTATGAAGGGAATGTCCACATGGAAATTTACACTATGAGTCTCCACTGTGCTCTCTTCCTTCCCCTCAGCCTGTGGTCAAAGCAACTCTGTGCTGACCTGATGCAATAAGTGCAGTTGTTTCAAGGACTTCTCTGTTGCTCCCAGAGGCCACAAGAGGGAATCCAAAGGTGAAGAAAGACTGAGAATCACTCATTTGTGTGTTTGGCCTTTATTTCAGTGGTATTACTGAAATAAATTTAAATGAGATTAAATTGTAAACTGAGAATGCCAAATGGATGGTCTTGTATATAATGCCACACTGGCTTCACTTTCAGGTCTCAGTGATGTTTTGTCTGACTATTAGGAAATGTGGCAATTCTTCCACGTTGATTTTGCTTAATTAACTTTTTTGGAAGCATTTTCAAAGTATTTCCTGAACTGTCCCTTATCACAATCCTCTGTGCGAGATTAGTTCTGTTTTCTTCATTTCATGTTATAGGGAGAGAAGCAGTGCCTCAGGAGGTCAGGTAATTTTTCCTAACATTGTGCAAATGAATGTCAGGGCTATGTCAGCTCTCCATTTCCCGGCTCTAGTCTGGTGCACTACACTTAAGTAGAACTGAGTGCCACTCACCCAAGAAAGACAAAGGCTCTCCCAAGTTTGCTTGATAGAGGATATTTACTTTGGTAAAGAAAAAGACATTAAAGTATGTTTTAATTTTCTCCTTAATAATTTGGATCACAGAAAATCTTTATGAAAATTCTTAGTTTTCTACCTTTTCTCAAGTTACTTATACTGAAAACAAATGGCTCTTAGCAGTAAAGATGGATATACTCCCCCTTCACTGTGTATGCCTTTCACAGCTGTAGAAGATTCTAGTGCCTCTGTGTGATGTCTCAGTTAAAGATGAAATAAGAAAAATCATATGAATGGTATATAAAATAGACATTAGTTTACACTTTTAAAACATTCCTTCCATTCTCAAACATAGACTATCCCTTCAGAGCCTGAGAACATGTACTTTTGCAAAATTTTAATAAATGTATCTGTTCATTTTTTTATTAATGAATTACTTGTACATATTAGTTACACTGTGTGAAAGTATCAATATTTGATTGTTCTTGACCTACAAATATGTTAATATGTAATATCATGGTAGGTTACTAAGCATGATAATGTAGTAAACCCATCCCTGAACTAAGATCACCAGTAACTTGGAATTAACCTGCATGTGCTACTCCCCTGTCTCTAAGGATTATTACAGGAACTAACCAGTATATGCTAATCTGTTCCCTACTCAGTGGATAAGAACAGCTATTATTAATTTTATGTTATCATTCCCTCATTTATTACTTATATGCCTTATAATACATTGTTTAGATTCTTGTTTTTAAGCTTTATAAAAATGTCAGACTGTGTGTTATCATGTAGGACTTGCTTTTTTTCATATTATGTTTCTAAAATTTATTTATATTTTATATATAATGATAGTTCATTTTTAGTACAGTATAATAGTGTATTGTGTGAATGTACAATTTATCCATTCTCTTTTTGATTGACATGTTGCTAAGTGTTTTACTATGAGTAATAGTGCTGTTACTATAAACAATTTGTATGTGGTGCCTGTTTATTTTCTTGATTCTTTTATTTCCATGGATTTTACTTTGACTTTACATGCAGATGAAATGTACAAGAATTGGCACGCTCTTTTATGAAATTTTCTTTTTTTAGGAAAAATATCAACTTTAAAAGTGAGGCCCTTTTACAACTTAAAACTTAGGGGATTATACAGCCGTCCTAAGACATTTTCATGCATTCATTTATAAGGCGACATAAAAGTCACAGTCACGTCATCTTCACAGCTGCAGTTTTGAATGAGTCTCCACAGTCAACTTCATAGGAATTTTAAAAAATCTTTAGTTTTTCTCAAAATGGTCTCATTTTAGCATCATCATTTGCAGAGGAAAACAGTCCTTCTCTAAGTTAAAAGTTTAGGCTCTGAAGACTCATTTGTGAGTGCCATTTAAAATTTATTTTTAATTAAGCATATTTAATGTTGGTAGGAGGTGCCAGACATTCAGAGCTCTGGAGACTCCAGGCATCCATATATCTACAGAACAAGCCTGGCTCAGACAGTAAAGGTACATTCTCCTTCCTGCTGTGTTCCTGTCTGTGTCCAGAAAGAGGAATTGCCCCAGTGAGAGGTGTCACAGTCTTTGGGCCCCACTCATTACCAAGCATGCAACTAACACTGGTAGCTATAGTTTATGCAAAATTCAGTTTTGCTTTTGCCAATTCATTTTACCCAGTCTACTAAATTGCCATCAAGTGTTAATGACTTTGGGCTCCCATCAGCCTGGTTTAATTCAAGCTAAGAACATAGTGCCAAAAACATTCTCCATTCCCTTCATTGGCCATCCCCAGAGATTCCTGCCTTTCCCTATGAGGAAGTTGAATTTAATTGGTCTTTTCCTTTTTCATTTTTCTTAAAATCAGTATTTTAGAGCTATAACTTCGAACAGATACTTTTGGTGTTAATGTTGTATCAAAGAAGTGAGAGTGTTCATATGAGAAAATGGCTGACCCACATTAGAAATCTTATAAAAGACAAGAGAATCTCTATAGGGTGGTTTGTGCTAGATCCTGAGCTATTAAAATAATGTTATAATCTGCCTCTGATAAATGTACTACTAATACTAAACTTTCATAATTAATTTGGGTACTTCATTACTCAAGACTAACATGTAGTTTTAAATAAACAAATATATTTCTTTACTTGATAGTATCTCTGTCTTACACAGAAGGGGCTACAGGTCTTTTGGATTGGGCACTAACTTTGCCTCTGGGTATATGACTGCGGCTAAGGGATGACTTGCATCTTGAAGGTCAAAAAAAATCTGGGTCATCACAGATGTTCCTAAACTTGTCTTTCATCTGATTCTTAGGAATAGCAAGAGTAGGGAGCTGATTTTCAAGATTCATGAATTCTGCTTGGATTTATCTTTTCTAACTTAATAAACTATAAGAGATAAAGCAGGCAATGGTTGTTAGGCAGACGACTGCTTTGTGAGATCTTATCTTTCCTTTGGTAACTGACATTTATTTTTTAATGATAAGTGATTTGTAAATCCTTGTATTTGGTACCTTAACAGATTTTTCAGACTTTGACAGACCCATCTAGACATAAGCTTGGTCTTATCTAGGCTTTTGTTCAGCTGATTAAAACATGCCACTGCTAACCGGGCACCAGTGGCTCACACCTGTAATCCTAGCTACTCAGGAGGCAGAGATCAGGAGGATCATGTTTCAAAGCCAGCCAGAGCAAATAGTTTACTACGAGGCCCTATCTCAAAAACACAGCATCACATAAAAAGGGTTGGTGGAGTGGCTCAAGGTGTAGGCCCTGAGTTCAAGTCCCAGTACCACAAATATATATATATGCTGCTGAAGCCATAGTGGGAAGTTGGATCCTTCTGTAAACCTTACATTGTCATTCTTTGCCAAAGCTGTATGTGCATATGTAGCTCCAACCAGACATCTTGAATGTCATTTGTCACAGATGACTAAGAACAGGTGTAAAGTTATGGTTTTCCCACCCAGTTATCCCAGCTGGAAAGGTCTTCCAGGCCCAGTCCTTACTGGTAATGAATCAGTAATGTCATGTTCATTCAACTCTCACACAAGTGCCAGTTTTATCAAGCTCTACAGAAGCTGTGCTATTTTTGTATATTCCAGACCCAACTAAAATAAGTGAAGTGCTTTTAGGCTTGAAGTGACTAGATTCTTTTCTTTAGCGAGTTTAAGTGTAGTTTCTTTAGTAGTTCTTTGTATTTAGCATTTTGTTTAGGACAGGAGAAGGTGAACACTTGAAGTAGTTCCTCTTGGTGGCTTTGCCCAGGTTTGTCTTTGCTTATGTTATTTTTATTATTTGTGTGTGTGTGTGTGTGTGTGTGTTTCGTACTGGGGTTTGAACTCTGGGCAAAGCAGGTGCTTTACCACTTGAGCCACTCCACCAGCCCAAAAGTCATATATTTGACTCAGATCTATGATACAAATTGAATTTGTTTTGTTTTTGTTGGCTTTGGTTTGTATTTCCCTTTTACATTTTGTAAAGTTTGTTTGTTTATTTATTTACTTTTGGCAGTACAGGGGTTTGAACTCAGGGCCTCACACTTGTTAGGTAGATGCTCTACCACTTGAGCCAGTCCACCAGTTCTGCCCAAGTTTATAGCACAGGGAGGGAGAACTTATTGGAAACTGAAGAAGTTGTTCTTTGGGGCTCTTGCCATTGTCCTGAGGTGGTGTAAAGTAAGTGTGATTGTGACACATAGGAAATTACTTGATCTAGAGGAAAAAGCCTTGATTTGTGGAGGTGGTTTCAAGAGAATATGACTAACCTTGGTATCTGAATGTTCTACAGCACTGAGGCAAAAGTCAGCTCTCCATCTGCTGCTAACAAAAACTTTGGATTGTGTTTCCTTATATCTCACAGGTGAGTGTGGTACAAGATTCCGTCAATATTTCTGGCCAGAATACCATGAACATGGTGAAGGTTCCTGAGTGCCGATTGGCAGATGAGTTAGGAGGGCTGTGGGAGAATTCCCGGTTCACAGACTGCTGCTTATGTGTTGCTGGTCAGGAATTCCAGGCTCACAAAGCTATCTTAGCAGGTTGGTATTTATTCATGGGTCTCTTAATAGTTTTGGTGAAACAAAGAAAAATAGTGGCTGTGTAATCACCTTTTGAACAAGTCGACTTTTTGAGCTCTGCACCTAAATGTATTTCTATATTCTGAAGACATTAGTTCTCATATCCAAAAAGACTGCTCTCTATTAAAGTGATATCTCTGTTTTCCTCTCTGTAAGTAGACTTAGACCACTGTTTTCAAGGAATGGATGATGGTGTGCAAAGGTACTGAATATCTTGACACCTAGAAAATATATGTCAGAACAGGTATCAGCTCCTACACAGGGGCTTTGGATGCAGTGAAGAGGTTCTGGCCTGCAGGGTAAATATCATCTAGCTGAGTCCCCAGGCCCAGGAAGATCAGTTCTTGCTCTAATAAATCCTTGGTTTTTAAAAGACCAGAAAGACTGAACCAGAGGAGGAACTGACAAGAAGACTCACTTCACCTCACAGGAAAGGAGAACAGACAGCCACAACTGCTCTGCAGTTCATAAGGCCTGTGAGATCACATGAATGTCTAGGCAACACACTTGGCTTAGGAAGCTAAGATCCTCTAGCTCTACCATTCTAAAGTACACACCTGTGCCAGGTATGGCGGTACACACCTGTAATCCCAGCACTTGGGAGTTTGAGACAGGAGGATCGTGAGTTTAGAGCCAGCCTGTGCTACATAGTGAGACCCTGTATCCAAAAATAAGAGAGAGAGGTAAAGTAAACCCAAAATGAGCACAATCTGCCTCATCTGACATCTTCCTATTTTATATCTCAACTAAGTATCACTGTTAACTCTTAGATAACTCTTTGTTTTTTGGGGGTTTTTTTATTTATTTTTTATTATTTTATTATTCATATGTGCATACAAGGCTTGGGTCATTTCTCCCCCGTGCCCCCACCCCCTCCCTTACCACCCACTCCGCCCCTCCTCTCCCCCCAACCCCCTCAATACCCAGCAGAAACTATTTTGCCCTTATCTCTAATTTTGTTGTAGAGAGAGTATAAGCCATAATAGGAAGGAACAAGGGTTTTTGCTGGTTGAGATAAGGATAGCTGTACAGGGCATTGACTCACATTGATTTTCTGTGCGTGTGTGTTACCTTCTAGGTTAATTCTTTTTGATCTAACCTTTTCTATAGTACCTGTTCCCCTTTTCCTATTGGCCTCAGTTTCTTTTTATTTTATTTTATTTTATTATTCATATATGCATACAAGGCTTGGGTCATTTCTCCCCCTGCCCCACCCCCTCCCTTACCACCCACTCCCCCCTCCTCTCCCCCACCCCTCAATACCCAGCAGAAACTATTTTGCCCTTATTTCTAATTTTGTTGTAGAGAGAGTATAAGCAATAATAGGAAGGAACAAGGGTTTTTGCTGGTTGAGATAAGGATAGCTATACAGGGAGTTGACTCACATTAATTTCCTGTGCGTGTGTGTTACCTTCTAGGTTAATTCTTTTTGATCTAACCTTTTCTCTAGTTCCTGATCCCCTTTTCCTATTGGCCTCAGTTGCTTTTAAGGTATCTGCTTTAGTTTCTCTGCGTTAAGGGCAACAAATGCTAGCTAATTTTTTAGGTGTCTTACCTATCCTCACCCCTCCCTTGTGTGCTCTCGCTTTTATCATGTGCTCAAAGTCCAATCCCCTTGTTGTGTTTGCCCTTGATCTAATGTCCACATATGAGGGAGAACATACGATTTCTGGTCTTTTGGGCCAGGCTAACCTCACTCAGAATGATGTTCTCCAATTCCATCCATTTACCAGCGAATGGTAACATTTCATTCTTCTTCATGGCTGCATAAAATTCCATTGTGTATAGATATCCCATTTTCTTAATCCATTCGTCAGTGGTGGGGCATCTTGGCTGTTTCCATAACTTGGCTATTGTGAATAGTGCTGCAATAAACATGGGTGTGCAGGTGCCTCTGGAGTAACCTGTGTCATAGTCTTTGGGGTATATCCCCAAGAGTGGTATTGCTGGATCATATGGTAGATCAATGTTTAGCTTTTTAAGTAGTCTCCAAATTTTTTTCCAGAGTGGTTGTACTAGTTTACATTCCCACCAACAGTGTAAGAGGGTTCCTTTTTCCCCCGCATCCTTGCCAACACCTGTTGTTGGTGGTGTTGCTAATGATGGCTATTCTAACAGGGGTGAGGTGGAATCTCAGTGTGGTTTTAATTTGCATTTCCTTTATTGCTAGAGATGGTGAGCATTTTTTCATGTGTTTTTTGGCCATTTGAATTTCTTCTTTTGAGAAAGTTCTATTTAGTTCACTTGCCCATTTCTTTATTGGTTCATTAGTTTTGGGAGAATTTAGTTTTTTAAGTTCCCTATATATTCTGGTTATCAGTCCTTTGTCTGATGTGTAGCTGGCAAATATTTTCTCCCACTCTGTGGGTGTTCTCTTCAGTTTAGAGACCATTTCTTTTGATGAACAGAAGCTTTTTAGTTTTATGAGATCCCATTTATCTATGCTATCTCTTAATTGCTGTGCTGCTGGAGTTTCGTTGAGAAAGTTCTTACCTATACCTACTAACTCCAGAGTATTTTCTACTCTTTCCTGTATTAGATAACTCTTTGGTTAGTGTCTGCACACATAGCAAGGCCCTCAACACTGCCAGTGCATCTTTCTGCAGATGCATTTATCTCCCTTTTTCTCAATAATGGACATTTCAGACGTTAGCCAACTTCCTCCAAGAGAACATCCAAACCTTTTTGTAGGAAGGCCCTCAACTCTTGCCTTTCACCTCACCTGTGTTCTCAGTGGAGGAGTTCCTTCCCATGTTCAGAGTAGACTGTTTTTCATACTTCTGTTCATATTCCATCCTGCCTGCCCAGAAACCTTACTCTACTAGCTGTCCTCCCTCTCTCCTTCCCTCCCAATCTCCTCCTCTCTCTTCTTTCTTTCCTTCTCTTTCTCCAGAGCTAAATTTCTTGGGTTAGCACATTCACTCTCTACTTGTTTCCTTTCACCTACCCTCATTTTACCTCCATGCTGGGAAAGCAGTTTTCCAAGGTTACATGAATGACCTGCTAGTTCCTAAATCTGAGAAACTCCAGTTTACATATTAATTACTTCACCTCTCATCTAATTTTCTCCTGGTTCTCTGGCTACTTCTAATGTGTGGCTTCCCTCTCTCTTTACTCTTTCTCTACCAGTGACCCTCTAATACATACCTACTGCTGTGGACCTTTTCCTGTTTACTAAAAGCACCAGTCCTTTAGTACCTTAGTGTCGATAACTCTTCTGGGATAAAATCAGTGAGAATTAATATCCTTTTGGTATAGATTAAAATATTAAGGTTCAGAGTATTAAGTGATTTTGCCTAAGAAAATGGTTAGAAAATTACAGAGCTAAAATTAGTTCTTCCTGACATAAACTATAAGCCAAAAGTTCCAGTTCTCTGCTAGCTCAAAACCCTCCTACTACTCCATCTGTTCTTCCACTCTTAGGTAGTGGTTGATGGTCTCAACTTTGACCCAAACTTTGTTTTATTCAACAACATGAAAAAAATTTGAGTTCTTAGTCATTTTATTACTTTTCATGGCTGAAATTAAGTTTACTTGTCAAGGTGTTCATTAGACTAGAATGTACAACCCTTTTTCATTGCCCCCACTCCTGAGGAGAAAAACTAATTATTTCTAGTCAGAGAAATACTAAGGAAGACAATTTTATCAGGTAACGGGAGCTTCGCAGGGAGGGCGGTATTGGGGTTTGAACTCAAGGGACTTGCACTTACTAGGCAGGTGCTTTACCACTTGAGCTGTGTTCTCAGCCCTTTTTGCTTTATTTTTTTAAAGTAGGATCTCACAACTTTTGCCCAGGCTGGTCTGAATATCGATCCTCCTATTTAAGCTTCCTGCATACCTGGGTTGATAGACATGTACCGCCCCCATGCCTTGCTTACTGGTTGAGATGGGGTCTTGCTAACTTTTTGCCTGGGCTGGCCTCAATCTGTGATCCTCTGATCTTTACCTCCTGAGTAGCTAGGATTTACAGGTGTGAGCCACCACACCCAGCCCTAGAGTAAGCTTTAAAGGGCACAAACTATGTATTATCTAAGACTTTTTCTGACTCTTTGGGGTGATATCATTTCCATTGAGAATGCTTGAGGCTGGTGAAATAACCCAAGTTACCTGCACAGCAAGCATAAAGTTCTGAGTTCAAACCCCAGTACTATTAAATTTTTTTTTAAAAGGATGCAACTAAACCAACAGTTTAAATATATTTTGATTAAAAAAATTTTTTAAAATGCATAACTTGAACGAACAGACAACTTGCCATAAATGAGTATGCACATAGTTAGAGCATGCCATCCAGCCCTGCTCTTGACCTTCTTAACTGTGTGATCTCTAGAGGTAGAGAAAGTATGGTGTCATTGTTCCAGCCAAAAATCCAGGTATTAGGATACCTTGCTTAGACCATGAAAGTTCCTTCCATTTGAACCCCTGTATCTACCCCAGATGATATAGCATTGTTGTCCAACATAGATGACTTGCATAATTTCCTTAAAATATAGATGTTAGGAATGGAGCTAATAAATTGTTTTGAAAGTAGCATTTTCTTTTATGCAGTATAATTATTTGGTCATTGGTGTGATTTGAGGCTGATACCCTTTCAGTGGGAATAGAACAAAAAGGAAAATGATCTCTCCATCATGACTGGGGATAACCAAGAGATATCTGTGTGATAACCTCATCTGTTTGTTTTCCTTTCACTTTGTAGCTCGTTCTCCAGTTTTTAGTGCCATGTTTGAACATGAAATGGAGGAGAGCAAAAAGGTAGGTAACAGAATGAACATGTGTCTTTCTAACCAGATGATTAGAGTCAGATCATTTCCCATTTGACAGCAGACCCTAAGTGGTTTTTTTCTTACTATTATTAAAATGGAATATAATTCCCTGAACAGACACCTTCTGAGAGCAGAGAGTAGCAGTTTGGAAGTATTCCAGGTAAAGTGGACTCACTTAATCCTCAGCAGATCATCCACATAGTTTTGGGTGAGGATATTAAATACATGTTTCTGCTCAGAAAACTCAGGAAATAAAAATCAAAGCTATAGTTGTGTTGCCCTTGTATTAGAGAGGTGGTATGTATGCTAGAATCAGATAGGGTGAGGAGACATTTTCATTCAAGTGATTTTAAACGATACAAACTTCTCTCCTCACCAGAGCTTAAAATCATAAAAATAGTTGAGGAATGTTGTTGTGTTGGAATGTTTTCTCATTTTCAGTTTTTCTGGCATAGAATCGGGTTGAGATCAATGATGTGGAGCCTGAAGTTTTTAAGGAAATGATGTGCTTCATTTACACGGGGAAGGCTCCAAACCTTGACAAAATGGCTGATGATTTGCTGGCAGCTGCTGACAAGGTAAGATATGACTAGGAAAAGAATCATAGAGCCAGGAGTTATCGTGATCTCTTTAGTTTTGTGAACTCACTTCTATGTTGCATTGTGGGTAAAATAAGCATCCATATATTTTAGTTTGGCCAGGGCAATCTTATTTATACATATTGTTCCAACACAATTAATAGTAACCTTTTTGTTCTCAAAGTGTCCTGCTGTGAAGGGTAAATTATAGGGTCACACTAACTATGAAAAAGAAGAAGTTTGATGTTTACCTCTTACCTCCCTTCTTGTCCTCATCTCAAACTTAACTACTGCAGATTCAAGTAATACCAAAATTTGGATAGTGCTTTATAATTTGCAATATATTTTTTTCAGTTCATTGTTAAAACTTTGTTAATAAGAGAATAGTCTTTTTACAAGGGTAACATTTTTAGCTTTTGCATAGTAGTTACTGAAATATTCAATTGTTCTTCAAAATTATAAGATGATTAATAATTCTTTGGGAAAAGAGAGAGAGATACTGAATGTCAGCTAGTTGGCATTTTACTGAAGAATTCCTCAGAACCTGAAGCATGCCAATGTACATTGGGAGTTTCTAAAAAACATTGGAGACAGACAGCATTTCTCCAGGTTAGTTAGCCCTGGAATCTTTTTCCTCAAGGATCACCTTTGAGGGTTAAGTGGATCCCAAAATACATGCCAGGAAATTGACTTTCATTGTGTAGGCACATCAGATGGATCCAGACACCTGCCTTCCCCAGCCCTGGGTCTGCGGAGATAACACTGCGGGGTGGACAAAATGATGTGCTGTTTGCCCTATAAAAGCTTTTCCTTATAGGGTTCAGGGCTGTTGATGTGAAGGTGTTAAAAAGATCTAATCTGTCAGCAGTGGACTCCATGAGAAAGAAGGTGCTCTGCTGGAAGTGCTGCCTCTTCCTGCCCTGCTGCTCCAATACCCATCTGAGGGAAAAGTGAGCTCCACCTGAGGGCACCAGAGCTTCTCAGGATTTGCTCAAAGGGATCATCTTCTGTACCTCCCTTTGTGCCTATGGACAGAGGAGGGTGCCTGGATTTATAGTAGAGATTTTACCTTTATTGATCAGTGTTTTGGAGGATCAGGCAGGTATACCCAAATCAGTGCTCTGGTGAAAACTGGAATAATAACTATCTTTCTCATCACCTTTCAAGACTTTAGTACCCAGGCACTAGTGGCTCACGCCTGTAATCCTAGCTACTCAGGAGGCAAGAGATCAGGAGGATCACAGTTTGAATGGCTTTAAACTTTTAAACTTGGCTCCTTAGAGCCAAGTTTAAAACTTCTGTGACCCTGGATTTTCATTCTTGCTCCTAAGCCAGAGACCCTACTAGTAACCTACTTACTGTAAGTGCATAGAGCGTGGGGGTCAGCCTGAAGTTTTTTCATGCCAAGGATATTTTCAGTACAGTGTGTTACCCTCCATTTTAAAAAGATAAAGCAGTTGAATAACAGTAGTGCTTTAAATTTATGAATGAGAACTAACTAACAGAAGCATGCATTTTCAAATTCCATTCAGAATTTCCCTTTAGGTAGACTTTGCTCCAAGCCTATTTGAAAACATGGTTTACCTTTACACCTCCCTGTGAGTTTTAGGAAAACAGTATGAAATCTTTCATGGAAGGATCTAAACATCTAGAATTTACCCAAGAGGCTAAAACAGCTTCTTCTGAGCTTTTCCAGTCTCCTGGGGACATGTGTAATTAGACCAAAAACAAAACAAAACACGTCGCCAGGCCTAGGAGACACAATTTCAATCTCCTGGGTAAGTACTGCCATTAGGCAGGTTTTTTTCAGAAGCATAATTAAGAAAAAAAACTTCATCCCCCAAGGGACAAGAATGGCTACTTTTGTGTAATTATGCAGTAGGAATCAGAGCTATTCACAGTAAAAATCCTTTTAAGAGAATGTATTAGAAAGGATGAGAGGAATAGTCTGTGCAGCACTGTATAAAAATTGAACATTTACTCAGCCTTTTCCAATCTTTTAAAACAAAAACTACAACCTCATTTCTTGCTTGTTGTAGTATCATTCCTATTTTCTATGGAAACTGTTTTCTAGTTACTCAAATGTAAAAAATTAAAGCTGCATCAACCCCAATGAAACCCTTTTTGCTGCAAGAGATCACAGTGCCAGCAGATATGCCTCCTCACCCAGAATTTATAACAATAAAATTGTCCTGGTGTGATTGCCATGATTCAGCCTGGAGGGGCGTTGTGTCATTGGGTTTTGAGGCCCTTGAGGTGGGGCCTCTAAGGGGACTGTAAACAGCTTCACAGTAAACCATTCTCCTATGAACTCATTAATGACATTTTATTTTATGTCTCCTTTTATTTCCTTACTCTAGTTTCTAGTCCCTGAAGTTTCTTAGCAAGTTCATATGTCATATTAGAGAACGAGTAGTAGAGTTGCATCAGACCCAATCAACTAAATCAAATGTGCCCAGCATTAACCTAGACCTTTCATTTCCAGAACATATATTCCCTTTCCCTAGAAAACAGAACTTTTTAAACTGAAACTGGATCCAGGGTCTCTTGCTGTGTCCTTTTACCCTGAGAATCTTAACCTTAACCCCAATAAAATAGGACTTCATTTATCCTTTTCTTTTTAAAAGGAGGCCCTTGGTTCACCCTTATTCAGTAACAACTAGTGGCAGAAATGCTGGTGAAAGTCACCACAGGGCTCCTTTTCACAGCCTGATGGGCCAATTGGGGTATCCTGCTGGGCTAGTGACAATGCTTAAGTAGACTGTGCTTCACCCTATCTAGTTGGCTCTAAATAAAAGAATTGCAGAAAGTTTAAATGTAGTGTTCCTGTTAGCTTGCAGCAGACTAATGCCTTACTGTAAGGGTAGGTGGTGATGGTTTAAGAAAGACAAGAGATACAGTAAACTTTAGAATATGGGGTCTACTCTGTAATTACCATTTTTCTAAAAGTTAGACTTTAGAATTTGAATGGCAGCTATTATTTTAGCTGTCTTCATTTCAAGCTAAACAACTAACCTTCAGAGTATGGTTATGTTTCATAATTGCAGCAGCAGCTTTTCATGCCCTGTGCAATTCTGTTCAGGTATAGGGTTATACAGTGCTACCGCCAAAGAAAACAACTTCAGTATGGGTCAGCCCAGAGCTATTGCAGCTCTGACGACAGCACTGCTTGTGTTTTACAGTATGCCCTGGAACGTTTGAAGGTCATGTGTGAGGACGCCCTCTGCAGTAACCTCTCCGTGGAGAACGCTGCAGAAATTCTCATCCTGGCTGACCTCCACAGCGCAGATCAGTTGAAAACTCAGGCAGTGGATTTCATCAACTAGTGAGTTGGCATTTTCAAAGTTCCTCTTTCAGAATAATTGGATAAGGAAAGGAGAAAGACTTTGAATTAGTGAGTAAAACAGGCGAGTAAGCTTCATTAACCTTTTGGTGGTAAGTGTAGAGTTTTCATCTTTTTTTTCAGCTTGAAAATGGTTTTGCTTTCATGGATTGAATCCTAGTTGTGAGTGAATTGTTTTACTTCCAAATAGTGATCAGAATTTATGAAAATGATAACGTTGCTAGCCTGAAAAAGCTATCTGTCCCAAATGACAGCATTTTTACTTCACCTCCACTGACTTAATAAAAGATATATAGATTTCTAGGAGAATAGAAGTACATTTTTCATGAGTTAGTAAAATGTATCTGATAGTCAGTGATGGGATGGGTAAAAGAGAAGGGATGATCAGTAATTGAGATTGTTAAATACTGTTTAGAGAAAGAAACATCCAACTTGATCTGTTTCTTCATCCCAAGTTCAGGTGACTTGGCCATAGAACTTTCTGAAATACTTTGAAGGGGCCAAGGTAAATTGTGACTATACTCCATCTTCATTGACACATACTCTACTCCCTTGCCTGATGGCATACAAAAGCTGAGGGGTGGGAGGTGGCCCTCACAACAGCAACTCTTGGGTAAAACAAGTCTAAGACATTCCAGGTAGATGAGTAAACACAGAAAATACCCAAAGACAGGAGATAATTTCTTCTAGGTCTAGTTGTAAGAATGTTTGCAAGGAGTTACCAGTTGAGGCAAAAGAGGGAGGGAAGAGGCCAGGCACCAGTGGGTCATGTCTATAATCCTAGCTACTCAGGAGGATCAAGGTTCAAAGCCATCCTGGGCAAATAGTTCAAAAGACCTTATCTCTGAAAAACCCAATACAAGACAGGGCTAGTGGAGTGGCTCAAGTGGTAGAGAACCTGCTTAGCAAGCATGAGGCCATGAGTTCAAACCCCAGTACCACCCCCCCCCCCAAAAAAAAAGGAGAGAAGAGACCAATAAATATTCTGTTGAGTGCTCATAATATGCTGGATGCATGCTTAGTACTTTTTAGAAATTAACTCAACCAGCCATTGAATGAAGAGTAGTAATTATCTCACTCTTTCCCCCTTTTTTTTTTTTTTTTTTTTTTTTTTGTGGTAGTACTAGAGATTGAACCCAGGGCCTTACACTTGCAAGGCAAGTGCTGTACCACTTGAGCTATACTCCCAGCCCATTTGTTTCTGTTTTGTTTGTGAGATAGGGTCCCAGGCTCTGTCTCCTAAGTAGCTGGGATTATAGGCGGATACCACCATGCTGGGGTCTATCCCCTCTTTCTTGACAATCACATAGACCCCAGCTATGATCTGCCCTGTGATTACAAAACTAGTAAAAGATGAGGTTAGATGGAAGCTTGGAGCTGACTGACTGAGAGAACCCTTGATCTTTTTCTATATTGGCATCATCAGTGAATATAAAAAAGTACAATGTTAAGAGCCTAAGGAGTGTTCCACTTTGGGTTTTTGAGACTAGTGGCTCAAAGTCCCAGTTTTGAGAATTATAACGGCCGCAGCCTAGTCACCAGTCTGCCCAGGTCTAATAAATTCTCATGCATATTAAGGATTGTATCTGGGTGTTTCTTGAACTGACACTGGGAAAGTAGGCTATCTAGGGGGCTGATCAGCCCATCTTTTGCACATCCCTTTGGTAACCTTTGTCTCTGTATTTCTCCTAGTCATGCTTCGGATGTCTTAGAGACCTCTGGGTGGAAGTCAATGGTGGTGTCACATCCCCACTTGGTGGCTGAAGCATACCGCTCTCTGGCTTCAGCACAGTGCCCTTTCCTGGGGCCCCCACGCAAACGACTGAAGCAATCCTAAGATCCTGCCAGTTTTGAGACTCCGTTTATTTTCCAGAAGCAGCAGCCACTGTTGCTGCCACTGAGCACCAGGTCGACAGCGCAATCTGTGGAGCATTTTCTCTGTTGTAGGGAAAATACTGTTGTGACCCCAGACTTTTAAAACAGCACTAAATAACTTAGGGGAACGGGAGGGGGGAGGGAAGGGCCCAGGACTCGAGGCTACTCAACCTAATGAAAACCCTGTTGCCGTGTCACCATGTTCCCTTTGGCCTGGCCGAGTTTGACACTGGGATTCAGTTTAGGCGCTGGCCCCAAGCACATCCCAGTGGTGGTACTTCGGGAGAAACCTACCTGCATCTGATTGAGAGAACAAATCATCAGGTGCCTGGAGCAAAAAGGAAAACAAAACAAACAAACAAAAAAGGACATATAGTTTTATGAGAAAGGAAAAGGAAAGAAGAATGAATTTTTGCAAAAATTTTCACAAATCAGTTTGTGGATTCTAGTAGTATTTATGTTGAGAGAAGCAAATTTTAGTCCTTCCAGCTGTACTAAAACTTGGATGTTTGTGAAAACTCTTTACTACCATACGAGTATCAGAAGAACTCTCTCTTTGTTAGCACTTATTGTTTGCAAGAACAGAATACATCCATTTACCCTCTTCTGAAAAATGACAAGTGAAAGCAGAAGGGGAAGGAGGTTATTTGATCTGGAAGATGAGTGTTTTGATGATAGTGGCTTTTGCAAGGTTCTTTATTGGTGTTGAAAACTGGAAGAAATAACTCATCCAGAATTCATACTGTCTTGATAAGAACAATGGTTCCCTGTTTTTAGATACTATGGAAAATGTTTTTTGGCATTTTTTCTGATTTTATTTCTCTTCCCTCTCCCCTTCCTTTTTCTAAAAAACAAAATAAAATGAAACCAAAAAAGCAATCAAACAAGCAGAAAAACAAATCCAGGAGACATACAAAGCAAAAAGAAGAGAAAAGAAAATTTTATTATTAATGCTGTATGAAAAAATCCCAGCCCAGATTGCTCAACTGTTTGTACCTGATTTGCCACCTGCATAGGAGCCAGCCCTCTTCCCTCTGATTAGCCCCTCTTCCTACAGGGAAGAATTTCCAAATGTTAAGTTTTTTCTTTTTGAAAATATAAATAATTACTATTTTGTACTGTGTGGTGTCTCTGGTCTTTTGTTTTACTCACCTGGCTTGTCTCTCGAGTCTGAGTTTCTTGCTTATGGGATTTTAAAGCCCTTATTTGATCCATCATTTTGCAGGGATTATGTTTGAAATGTCTAATAAGCAGTAGGAATTTATTTATTCATAATCTCAAGTTTTCTTTGTGAGCTATCAACATCTGCCAGTCTTTTGTCCTCCTTAAGTATCTGACAGTCCACATCCTGAGGAGGGACCAGGCCTCTACTTCTGCCAAGGCAAGTAATTTTAGCGGGCTTTTCTGCACCCTAGATGTTTGAAGATCTAATCCTCAATCTCCTTTCTCCTAAATATAAAAAGATTAAGGTACATGAACGTGGAGATTAAATAAAGGGAAATTACTGTCTCTGACTGGTCCTGTCATTGACTTGTGTTTCCATAAAAGTTAATGTCTTAACTCCCAGCAAGCTCACAAAAATGCTGTGGAATTCCCTGTGTGTCTATTTCATAGCATTGTTAGGACAGTAGGTTACAATGGAAAATGCATTGGCCATTTGGCTAAGGGTATATTATTTGACCTTAGGTGGAAGTGCAATGTATTTTCCCTTCCATTTATTTCCAGCGGACTTCAGCCTTTGCAAATTTTCCAGTTTCATTTTACTACTCCTAGAATGAATAGATATGGTCTATTGCCAATATAATCAAAGGCAGGATCTGTTTATTAGAAAGTACTCCATCGTCAATCTCAGTTTCCGCCTGAGTGTGACCTGTGTGAAGAAGTGCCAGCTTCCCAGGCGCCAGTGGCTCACGCCTGCAATCTTAGTACTCAGGAGGCAGAGATCAGAAGGATTGCGGTTTGAAGTCAGACTGGGCAAATAGTTCGCAAGACCTATCTTGAAAACACCCTTCACAAAAATAGCGCTGGCGGAGTGGCTTAAGGTGAAGGCCCTTAAAACAATAAAAATTTTAAAAAAAAAAAGTGAAGGCTCTGAGTTCAAGCCCCAGTACCAAAAAAAAAAAAATTGCCTGCTTCCACTGTGTATTGACTGCAGTCCTATGCTGTCTTAGCCCTCACTTTCCAGGTTGGTCATTGACCTAGCAATTAGGACAAATACAAAGCCTTCTATACCCATGTTGTCTCTTGGATAACTTCATTTGCTCTGCAGCTTCTGGTTCACAGCTAACCTTCATCTGCAGGGTCTCATTTGAACTTCCCTACCCAAGAGTTTGGTGGGACAGGCAATAGAGAGCATCTTCCCCTTATATAGCTGGGAGAAGGTGAAACTAGGGAAAGTAACATGTGTAAGGTCACACAAATATTGAGTGCTAGATCTTCTAATGCCAGATCCTGAAGATTACATAATGAATGGAGGAAGTTCCATTTCTGGAATGCTTAGGTACAAAATTGGAAGTAAAGCCTGCTTCTTTTGGGAATAGTGAGAACAAAGCTCTGGAAAGCTGCCTCTGCTGGCCTGGCCTGTTCTTCAGAGGTTCCAGGAGGTTCAGCCAGCCAGATTTGCTTTCCTCTTCACTCACAGAAAGCTCGGGGTTGGGGAAGGTGGTCTCAGGGAATGCACACCCAGGAGGGTCTTGACACCTAACTTCTGTCAGGATGAAGGCCTCTTCTGGTATTTTCAATAATTACAGAATTTCCAGAATGAACTTTACTATGGGTACAAAGCTGTTGGAATTTCAGGTACAGGTAATGCTGCTTGATGCTTCTGTCATCATCATTTCTGGACATGTTTGTTTTTGTTTTAAATGATACAGTTGAAGCCATCTGGTTCTGACAATATCAGAGCCCCAGCATACTGTTCATAAACCTCCCATTGCCACCACCCCTTCCCTTAGCTCCCTCACATCTGAAATTTAATTCAAGTTAACTCCACAATCTGGGGCATGTTTCTCACTGCAGAGATGTCCGTGCCAGTGGAACAGTTGGAGATTGCAATTCCACAAGGATATGGCTTATTTATCAAAACAGTATTTCAGACTAGTAGTTTCATAGAACCTTTGGAGTTGCACTTTCAGGTCCAAGTAGATTATCTGGCATCATCTCCTTCCTGTGGGCAGCCACCTGCACGCCTGGCCAGCCATGGAAAAAAATTCCTATTTCCTACATGGAGATTAAACCTCCATGTTGTTATTAGGCAGTTTGGACACCTCCACAGATTTGGACAGTTTTGGAAAGAGATGTCTTTTCTTTTTTACTGGTAAGACTGCTGCTGCTTTTCATATATTTAGGTCCAGCCAGGGACATAAAGATCCTTTCCTAAACCAGAAGATCTCTGGCTAGATAACTGCTCTGTGCTTTCCTTTTTAAATCTAGCTTCTACCTATTGTGGGATCTCCATATTGTATGAGCCTGTGCAGATAAAAGGAAGCAGCTTATATATTTGTGAGCAGAACAATAGAGGGGGAGTAGAGCTGCACTTTGAAACCGACTGTCGCTTTGTTCTGGCCCTTCAACTCCTGTAAAAGAACAACTAAGTCCCCAACATGACAGTATTGGATCCTTTGGTTTATCTTTGTCAAAGAAATTCTTGGCTGGAGCCCAACCTTATTTTCCACAACTAGTTATCTTTTTAATTATCTTGAGCCCTGTGTGTTTCCTTTGTCTTGTGACTTTTCACTAAACTCTGCCCTCCATCATTTAAATTCATTTTTGATGGACTGCTGACTAACCTAAAATTCAGGTGAGTATTGTTGGGCTGCTCTTTGTATGTGTGTGCGCAAAGTAGATGTGTTTTCCCCCTTTCAATTTCAGAGGTGACTGCTGTGGGGGACCCTTTGACCCAATAGCTGGATGCCTCATGGAAACAGTGGGCAAGAAAGCAGATGTAGGATGATCAGTCTTTGGGATAATGAGCTGGGTAAACCAGAAGCTTTGACCTCCAGATGAGAACAGAAACTTGCATGTTGTTGACTGATGGGATCTTTATGCTGCTAAGCCATTAGCAAGATGATTGCTCCCCCTCTGTAAATCCTGTAATGCTGGAGTAGGAAGTGGCATCTGGAATACTATTTGGTGCTGATTTCTGCAGTCCTAAGGAAAAAAAGTATTTTAGACTTGAGGGAATTCAATACAAGCAACAGAACTGATTAAGGCCTTGAAGGGATCACCTCTAGGGGAAAAACCTTATGAAGATAAAATATGTGTCATGCCAGTATGGGAGTTTAACACCAGTACCTGCAGCTGACAGATGTCACAGGCATTCTGAACACTTGGTAGCTTGTCTTATGCAGCCCCATTCATTCCAGTTGTGTAGCTTGGGAAGATGGTGATGAGATTTCCTGAAGGTCACACAAGCTGGCCCAGAGCCAAGAAACAACAGAAAACAAAGGAATATTGGGGGTGTAAGCCCAAGGATCACTGAGAAGGTGAAAATCCAAAGAGTGCAAGGCAATGATACAGACTCATCCACTCCTAATGCTCAGTGAAATGAGGAGAAAAACTCCTCAAGACCCTTAAAGGTGAGCTCTTCACACCAGGCATTGGTGACTCACACCTGTAATCCTAGCTACTCAGGAGGTAGAGATCAGGAAGCCAACCTGGGCAAATAGTTCAAGAGACCTTATGTCAAAAAAAACCATCACAAAAAAGAAGCTGGTGGAGTGGGGCAAGGTGTAGGCCCTGAGTTTAAACCCCAGTCCTACCAAAAAAAGTGAGCTCTTCACAAACTGAGGGAGAAAAGAAGTGCCCCACTGAGTTTACCTTTTCATGTCAGGGAAAACAGATACCCAGAAAGAAATAACATGCTCAAGGTCACAGAAATTAAAACTCAGGCCACTGATTGAACAGCAATTACTGAGTACTTAGGAGACCCCAGACATTATACAAGGCTAGGCCTAGGGCAGAGGTTAAGATTTCTACTCTACTAACTTAATCTTAAGGCAGAAACAAAAGCTGAGGACTAGAAAGAAGCTATTGGGCTTAGCAGGTAGGAGGTCAGTGTTTACCTTAGAGCAGTTTAGACACATGGTCAAATTGAGTATTAAGCTGCTCTTTCAGGAATTTCGACAGGGAGAGAAGAAAGGAAGCTCTTAAGAATTTATATCTGGCCCATCCCCCTGGTCCTTCATAGTGTCCCATCCCAGGGCAAGCTGTGGCTCCGAACCATTGCCTGGCCTCTACCCATAGGCTGCTGGCACTGAAGTGGGTTGCACAGTAGAAAAGAAAAAAATAATTTATATCTTAACCTAGTCAATGTATTTGTTTTTGTCCAGAAGTAATGATGTTCAGGTTGTTCCATGAGTTACGGACACTTTAATAACTGATACTCAAAAGTGTTGTGCAAGTCATGTTTATAGAATATTATAGCTTTAAATTGAAAATGAAAACAATTGCCTCCAGCCCTTACACTATTTTTGGAATGATTTGCTAAAGACATGTTTCTGTATTTCTTCACCCTATCTATCCATCTTCCAAGTGAAAGTTTTTCACACCTTACCATGTTCTCATGGACCAGTATTTTGGCTCTGTGGTGTGTGGCTAAAGGTTTACTGTTCAGCTCGTAAATATGGAAGCCCTTATTAGTGGCCCTTTACCAGATTAACCTGTAGTGTAAATCTCCCATCTGGGCTGATTTCAAGTCTCCAAGGTCATTTTATTGATTGGAAGTTGGGAAGGGATATGTAGAAGGCCATTGAACTTTTAATAATGGCATTTCAC